TTAATTAATTAATTAATTAATATTTTATGCAATGACTTGTGAGAATCCTGTTTTCATGGCTTTGTGAGAGCAAGAGTTGTTTCAAATAGCTAAGTGGTTCAGAAGTGTTAGGGTACATAAGAATTACCTAGATATCTTACTTCAAATGTGGAATATTGTCCCCCATCCCTGGCGATTTAGATTTAATTGATCTGAGATAGTGCCTAAGAATGTGTATTTTTAACACGCACCACTCCCACCAGTCTGCCCCTCCTCATTGGATTCTAGTGCGTGTGATTCTCAGTCCACATTTTGAGAAACACTGTGGTAGATCTTTGACAAGAGATGTGATTTATCTGGCTAGAAAACAAATGTTTTCATGAGTTTCTGAGGATATTTACAGATATGAATCCGAATTGGTAGCTGAAGCTACTTGAATGTTTAATGTTCACTGGAAATTGATTCATGGGATAAAATTCTTTGAGAAATCATAAGTACTCTTCTTGGGTTAAAAATGCCCCTGAAGATCACTTTGACAGTGTAATATTATAACACAAAACCAATCAGACTTAGAGACTTTATAGTTCTATAATTAATATTTTCTGAATAATCTTTAGGAAACCTACCTTTACAGTTATGGGGCTACATATTAAAGCTTCACACAGTCAAAGAATAAATTAACTTGAGAAAATACTGTGAAAGTATATCTTTTCATCGTCTCCACACCACGTGCTAGAAGTCTTAAAGGCATCAGGAGTGTTAAGAAAATAATATGTCAGTGATCCTGTAGGCAGTGGTCAGTGGCAGTAGATTTATCTAAAATGATTTATGATTTTTTTCTCCACAGAATTATTTTAAAAAGTTGTTATATCTAGCTTTCAAGAAAAAATGATTAATGAAAAAGAATGGGACAGGAAGTTTTTTTTTTTTCTATTCTCTTTGAAGAGAGCCTTCAGTTATATCTTTCTGTAAACCTCATTATTCCCAGATTCAGTCAGGTCTTCTTAAATTGGTAAGAACATAATGGCATCTTCTTGTTTTACCTACTTAGGATGGATAACTTCCAACGAGGTGGTTGTTCCCTTTGCAGTGGGAAAAGGGAGTGATGAGGATGATTAAATATTCCAGTGTATTCAATGTGAGTTTTTTTGAGGAGGGGTTGTATGAAGACATCCCCCATCAGGAATGGGGATAAGCTCCCCTTAGGAAGCTGTTTCAAACCACCCATGGCCCTAATATTTCAGAATGGAATCTAACCCATGTTTCCTTTAGATAGGAGGAAAAGGTGCAGTAGAGCCCAGACTCCCCTCCCCACCACCACCCTGAAGTCACTGCGTTAATAGTGGGCCCCTCTGCAGGCTTTTAGGACTGGTGTCGACAGGAAGCAGGCAGCATCAGTAAAAAGCCCTGCTCCAGCTGATCATCAGACAGTTGCCTCTCTGCCAAGCTCAGCTCTGTCTGACAAGCCGAACTGGCAGTGGCACCTGGACTGTGTCACACTCTATTGAAGAACTTGTAGGGAAGAC